ATGTAGATGACGGATTGATGGGTGCAGCAAGTCACCATGGCACATGTACACCTATATAACAAACCTGCACATTCTGTATATGTATCCCAGAACTTAAAGTATAACAAAAAAGAAAACAAAAAATAAACAAAACAACAACAGCCTCGACACATTTGTTTATTACACAAATGATTTCCCTCAAGACCTCATTCTTGGTTTTGCATTACAGACTCAAAGCCTTTGCCACAAGGTGGAGCTTATTAAGTTATACTTGGCTCCACTTGTAATTTTCTCATCTGGGCACCATCTTTCTTATTATTGTGTCATTACCATAATACAGGGTTCCTGCTGTTAGAGCAGCTAACAGCTGAGAGTGCCCTCTGTGGCCTTGGCAAAAATCTCTAACTCTGGTCCTATTTCTACTATGTCGTGGTCCTCCCTCATTCCACTCTTGCACTTGGTTCCATTCTCCATACTTCCTTGTTTCGTCCCTGCTTCTCTTTTCTGTGTAACTGACCACAGGAGTGGCTCTTGAATTTGCTAATTTTTTTTCTGCAGATTTTTACCATCTCACTTTTGATTCCTTTCCTCCCACATAAAAGGTCCCCACTCTAACCAATTTTTCCCATTAAATCTTAACAACTCCTATAATTAGTATATGATTATATGATTTATACAATTGAATGAGCGTTTTGTTTGTGCCTGGCACAATACTAAATGCTTTACATACTTTCCTATTGTCATTTAATCTTCACAACAGTCACATAAGGAGGGACTAATTATTGTCCCCATTTTAAAGTAGAGAAAACCAAAGCTCAGCAATGTTTCCTTCTGGCCCAGGGTGTAGAGAAACGAGAACCCAGGTCCACTCTTCATGGGAATGTAAATTGGAATAGCGTTTATTAAAAAAAAAAAAGAAAGAAAGAAAGAAAAGAAAAGAAAAGAAAAGAAAAAAAGGATAGAAGCTCCTCAAAAAATTAAAAGTAGGCCAGGTGCAGTGGCTCATGCCCGTAATCCCAGCACTTTGAGAGGCTGAGGTTGGTGGATCACTCGAGGTCAGCAGCTTAAGATCAGTTTGGCCAACATAGTAAAACTCTGTCTCTACTAAAAATACAAAAATTAGCCAGGCATGGTAGTGCACAGCCATAATCCCAGCTACTCAGGAGGCTGAGGCATGAGAATAGCTTGAACCTGGGAGGTGGAGGTTGCAGTGAGCTGAGATCACACCAGTACCCTCCAGCCTAGGTGAGAGAACAAGACTGTTAAAAATAAAAAAAAAATTAAAAAATTAAAAATGGAACTACCATATAATTTAGCAACACTACTTCCGGGTATATATCCAAAAAACTGAAAGCAGAATCAAAATTAAAGGAAAAAAAAAATCACTACCCAAAGAGATATCTTTACTCCCAATAATAATGCAGGATAATTATCTTTATTATCTTATTATTATCTTTACTAACCATGCAGGATTATTCACAATAGCAAAGCTATAAAAATAATCTATATATTCATCAATAGATGAATGAAGAAAGAAAAGGTAGTGGACATACATAATAGAATAAGGTGGTGTATATACACAAAAGAAGGAAGTTGTGCTGTTTGCACTATCATGAGTGAACATGGAGGACATACTAAGTGAAATAAGCAAGACACAGAAAAACATATTGTATGATCTTACTTATATGTGAGCTCTGAAATAATCAAACTCATAGAAGTACAGAGTAGGCCAGACATGGTGGCTCATGCCTATAGTCCCAGCAATTTGGGAGGCCGAGGTAGGAGGATCACTCCAGGCCACGAGTTCCAGACCAGCCTGGCCAACATGACAAAACCCCATCTCTACTAAAAATACAAAAATTGGCCAGGTGTGGTTGCATGCAGCAGTAATCCCAGCTGCACTCGGGATGCTGAGGCTCAAGAATTGCTTAAACCCAAGAGGTGGAGGTTGCAGTGAGCTGAGATCAGGCCACTGTGCTCCAGCCTGGGCAACAGAGCAAGACTCTGCCTTAAAATAAATAAATAAATAAATAAATAAATAAATACAGAATAGAATGGTGGTTGCCAGGGGGTGCAGAGAGGGGGAAATAAGGATGGGATGTTCAAAGGGACCAAGCTTTAGTTGTGCAGGATGAGTAAGCTCTGGAGATCTATTGCACAGCAGTGCCTATAGCTGACAATACTGCCTTGTATACTTAACATCTGCTAAAAGAGTAGATTTTATGCTAAGTAGTCTTTCCACAAAAACATATTATATTACTATAATTTAAATTATAATAATAAAGTGAGTAGAAGGAAACTTTGGGAGATAATAGATATGTTCATAGCCTTGATGATGATAATGGTTTCACGAGTATGTACTTATCCCCAAACTCATGGAGTTATGTGCATTGGGAACCTACAGCTTTTTGTATGTCAACCACACCTCAATAACATAGTTTAAGGGGAAGAAAAAGTCATTTTCCCAACATCTGTCTGACTCCAAGACCAGAGCTTTTCACCAATTCTCCACTGCCCACAGCAGCCCTCAGTCCAACATTTTGTGTGATAGTTTTTCCCTTTGCAGCAAGAGCATTACATTAGACATATACCTAAAAGCTTTTTGACTGCAATACTTTGGGAAGACTGTTTATATCAAACAAATTAGAAAATAGTTTTCAAGTGTGTCTCTTTTATTATTTTTTAATGTAATGATTTTTACATTTTAAAATGTAATTTTACATTTACATTTATGTTTATGATTTTTACATTAAAAAATCATAAATAGGGACACAAATAAATAAGGTTAAGATTGGTGGAAAAATAGTGATACACAATCAGTCTTCGAGAATTATTTGTTCATTTACGTACAGCTTCTACCTAGAGTATAGCTCATGCTCCACAATATCAAATTCCTAATAATTTTCTTTTTACCAACAGGATTGATTTTATTTATAGGTACACACTGCTTACTACTATGCAATAGAATGGGTATAGGAGGGCTATGTTACAGAGATACTAAAATCTTCCCATTTTAAACACCTCAAATTTTACCAATTTGAGATTAATATTCTTTTGGGCTAACCTTTTTTTTTCTTTTCTTTTTTGAGACGGAGTCTCACTCTGTTGCCCAGGCTAGAGTGCAGTGGTACCATCTCAGCTCACTGCAACGTCTGCCTCCTGAGTTTAAGCAATTCTCCTGCCTCAGCCTGTAATCTGGGATTACAGGCACCTGCCACTATGACCAGCTAATTTTTATATTTTAGTAGAGATAGGGTTTCACCATGTTGGCCAGGCTGACCTCAAACTCCTCAGGTGGTCTGCCCACCTCGCCTTCCCAAAGTGCTGGGATTACAGGCATGAGCCACCACACTTGGTCAGAGCTGACCTCTTTTAAAATATAAATTTATTCACAGGGAAAAATAACCCTAAGCCACTAATAGCTTAGTGTGAATAAATATTCCAAGTGCTTCCTGAGAAAAGAAACTAGAATAGAAGGAACAAGCACTGTTAGTTCCTTAGGAAGACAGACAGAGCCCTGATCTGGAGGAGGTTACCCAAAGAGGACGGTAGATGGGTCAAGACTAATTTTGGCCTGAATTCGGGCCATTGTGATGGCCTGAATCAGTGCTTCTTTCTAATGAGTGTGAAATAGCTATGATGTCTAAGAATAAGTTTCATTTACTGAAGAAAAAACAAAACAACAAAAACCACCTGTCATAATCCTAGCCTTTGGGGCCTACCTAACCCTAATGTAATAAATCCAAAAAATAAAACTGAAAGATTGTACAGAAAAATGTTATGCTTGATCAATTGCAACTATCCAAGTGAGAACCACAACTTGCTTTAAAGGTAGAAGCATTCAAGTATTTGTTGTTGTTGCTGAATCAGAGGGATGAGCTGCTTTCATCCTAATTGAAATTATACATCCTTTGCATTCATAAAACTTCAGTAACAATTTGAACTGCCAAGGTCTTTAATAATGAGATTATTTGCCTTTCAGAATTGACAGTTATATTAAAAATCCCACCTCTTTTATCCATCAGAGTTAAGCGCTGCTCATTCAACCTAAATCTTTTTACTAAACATATGGAGTATTTCATAAGTTTAAAAAGAGGGAGAAAGCTTTCAAAAGTCTTTTTCCCCTCCTTAGCTTCCTAAAAAAAGTCATTCTATTTTTTAAAGTATCTGAAGAGTCATAGTTCACTAAATTATCTTTTAGCATAATGTTCAAAAATATTAGATAACCAAAAGACTCCGAAAATCAAATGTGTTCTTTCCTGTTCTAGCTAACATCCATTAACACCAAAGTTATCACAATTGTTTGAACTAAAGTCACTGAAATTAAAAATTAAATTTAGACATCAACAGATTGTGTACATCAAGGTGGTTCCATCTTTAACAGCTCAACAATTTAAACTCCTTCCCAAATAGAAACAATACTTCTGAACAAGTCATTACACTTTAATAAGACTCCAAATCCTACTTTAAAATACTTCTTGATATACCTACCATGCTCACTTCTTTGAGCGACAAAACTCATTGAAATTATGTATAAAAAAGCTTTAAAATGCTACTCAACCATAAGGTGATACAACTTATTGTAATATTCAAAGTAAACTTTTCATATCTACTTTTAAAAATACCTAATTATAATGCCATAGGTGCCCCAATTTTATTATGTGATAGACTGCTTCATATTCTACAGTCTTACAGTGTCAAATAAACCTTTGCCTATTCCTGTCCTTCTTTTAGGAATTAATGTATATCCTGAATCTGTATTAGAATATGTTATTCCTTTTGAGAAAATTGTCTTGCTTTATTAAAGTCTTAACTGCCAGAAAGCAAGGTAGAAAAGTATAAGTAGAGGACTGAAAGCCTTAACAGAATTCAGAGAAGACAGATAATAGTTAACACTTGCAAGGTGATCCCTATGTTCTGAGCTCTTTACACACTAAGTCCTTTAATTCTTAAGGGCTGTTTTCACACAAATTTAAAAAACTGAGGTACACAGAGATTAAATGACATCCTAAGTATCTTACCTTTAATAACTTGCAGAGGTGGTTAATACTAAGTATCAACTTGATTGTACTGAACCATGCAAAGTATTGATCCTCAGTGTGTCTGTGAGGATGTTGCCAAAGGAGATTAACATTTAAGTCCGTGGGCTTGGAAAGACAGACCCACTCTTAATCTAGAGAGGTACAACCTAATCAGCTGCCAGTGGGGCTAGAATATAAGCACGTAGAAAAAATGTGAAAAGAGACTGGCCAAGCCTCCCACCCTACATCTTTCTCCCATGCTGGATGCTTCCTGCCCTCGAACATCAGACTCCCAGTTCTTTAGTTTGGAACTCGAACTGGCTCTCCTTGTTCCTCAGCCTGCAGACGGCCTATTGTGGAACCTTATGATCATGTGACTTAGTACTTAATAAACTCCCCTTTTTGTATATACCTATTCTGTTAGTTCTGTCCCTCTAGAGAACACTACATGCTAGTAATTACATGCTAGTAATGGGCATAGGCAAGTTATTAAAGGTGAGATATTTAGGAATATGTATATTTAGTAATATGTCCATTTACTTATTGATATGCTTAGTAATGCCTTAAGTGCCCTGACTTTATTGTGTGGTAGACTGTTTCACTATTTTACTGTACTTCAAGTTCTGGGGTACATATGCAGATCCTGCAGGATTGTTGCATAGGTACACACATGCCATGATGGTTTGCTGTCTCCATCCCCCCATCACTTACATCAGGCATTTCTCCCAATGTTATCCCAACCTCCGCTGACCCCACTGTCCCTCCCCTAGACCCCACACCCCAACAGACCCCAATGTGTGATGTTCCCCTCCCTGTGCCCCCGTGTTCCATTGTTCAACACCCGTCTATGAGTGAGAACACACAGTGTTTGGTTTTCTGTTCTTCTGTCAGTTTGCTGAGAATAATGGTTTCCAGATTCATACATGTTCCTACAAAGAACATGGCTGCATAGTATTCCATGGTGTCTATGTGCCACATTTTCTTTGTCCAGTCTATCATTGATGGCCATTTTGGTTGGTTGCAGGGTTTTGCTATTGTAAATAGTGCCTCAATGAACATATGTGTACATGTGTCTTTATAATAGAACAATTTATAATCCTTTGGGTATATACCTAGTAATGGGGTTGCTGGGTCAAATGGAATTTCTGTTTCTAAATACTTGAGGAATCGCCACACCGTCTTCCACAATGGATGAACTAATTTACACTCCCACCAACAGTGTAAAAGTGTTCCTATTTCTCCACATCCTCTCCAGCATCTGTTGTCTCCAGATTTTTTAATGATGGCCATTCTAACTGGTGTGAGATGGCATCTCAATGTGGTTTTGATTTGCATTTCTCTAATGATGAGTGATGATGAGCATTTTTTCATGTTTATTGGCCTGATAAATGTCTTCTTTTGAAAAGTATCTGTTCATATCCTTCACCCACTTTTGAATGGGTTGGTTTGTTTGTTTGTTTCTTGTAGATCTGCTTTAGTTCTTTGTAGATTCTGGATATTAGCCCTTTGTCAGATGTGTAGATTGAAAAAATTTTTTCCCATTCTGTTTGTTGCCGGTTCACTCTAATGACTGTTTCTTTTGCTGTGAGAAGCTCTTATGTTTAATTAGATCCCATTTGTCTATTTTGGCTTTTGTTGCCAATGCTTTTGATGTTTTAGTTATGAAGTCCTTGCCTGTGTTTATGTCCTGAAAGGTTTTGCCCAGATTTTCTTCTAGGGTTTTTATGGTGTTAGGTCTTATGTTTAAGTCTTTAATCCATCTGGAGTTAATTTTAGTGTAAGGTGTCAGGAAGGGGTCCAGTTTCAGCTTTCTGCACATGGCTAGCCAGTTTCCCCAAAACCATTTATTAAGCAGGGAATCCTTTCCCCATTGCTTGTTTTTGTCAGGTTTGGGAAAGAACAGATGGTCGTAGATCTGTAGCGTTACTTCTGAGGCCTCTGTTCTGTTCCATTGGTCTATATATCTGTTTTGGTACCAGTTCACAATAGCTACAAAGAGAATAAAATACCTAGGAATATAACTAACAAAGGATGTGAAGGACCTCTTCAAGGAGAACTACAAACCACTGCTCAAGGCAGTAAGAGAGGACACAAACAGATGGGAAAACATTCCAAAACATTCTTCCTGGTTAGGAAGAATCAGGATTGTGAAAATGGCCATACTGCCCAAAGTAATTTATAGATACAACACCATCCTCATCAAGCAATCATTGACCTTCTTCACAGAACTGGAAAAAAATCACTTTAAACTTCATATGGAGCCAAAAGAGAGCCCACATAGCCAAAGCAATCCTAAGCAAAAAGAACAAAGCTGGAGACATGATGCTATACTTCACGCTATACTACAAGGCTACAGTAATCAAGACTGCTTCATATTCTACTGTATTACAATGTCAAATAAACCTCTGCCTATTCCTGACTTTTTTTTCAGGAATTAATGTACAACCTGAATCTGTATTAGAATATGTTATCTTTTTTGAGAAAATTGTCTTGCTTTATTAAAGTCTTAACTGCCAGGAAACAAGGTAGAAAACCATAAGCAGAGGACTGAAAGCTTCAAAAAAATTCAAAGAAGACAGATAATTGTTAACATTTAACAAGGTGATCACTTTGTTCTGAGCTTTTTACACACTAAGTCCTTTAATCCTTACAATGACCCTGTAAGTGCTTTTTGCCTCCCAACCTACGTCTTTCCCCCATGCTGGATGCTTCCTGGCCTCGAACATCAGACTCCCTCCATCAGCAAGTCATTAAAGGTAAGATGGGATAATCAAGCAATGTTATCTATATTTAAAAATAGGGAAGACAACCATGTTTTCCCTTGGTTCCTCTGTGAACAAACTCCAGCTCCGCAAAAATCTGGGGCTCACTATTATATTCTGATTAAGAGTAACTTATTTGTCATTCTTAGATGTAAAGAAGGAATGAGAGCAAGAGTCTTGCTTTGTTTTTGTGAGGAGAGGACCCATGAACAGAAGCTTCTCTTGAAAAGAAAGCTTGAGGCTAGTTACTTACATTAGCAGCAATTATATTAATAAATCATCTCATACCAATCTTTTATGAGCTCTGAGAAAATCAGTTTTGAATTAGTGAGAGAGGAAGTAGCAAAGACCTTCCATCAAGAAGAGGAATTGGGGGTGAATTCATAAGTATGTGCATGTATATGAGAGTCAGGGCAGGGTCTTAAATAATCACAGATCAGCAGGAAGGCTTTGGGTTACAGTAATAGGTGACAGTAAGAAGGAGGACACAGAATAAAGAAAGATGACGACACCGTAATTATGCTGCAATTTGGCCATGGGCCCTGATGATAGCTAAATTCACCCAGGCTAGGTATGAGAGAGTTACACAGTGCATGGGAACTCTGTACTCTATAACCAAGAATTGTAAAAGCAAAGCCAAAGACAGTCATAGTTAAGTGGTTCTATCAGATTGTTTTATAAAGCCTATGTGGAGTTAGCAAAAAGTTGAGATTTGAGGACATAGTCCTCTAGACTGCCAGACCAGCCCTAGACTCCTGATACCTACAGCAAGGGGGTAGAGCCCAGCTAGGAAGGTAGAGGGGGAGTCCACACAAGACTCCTAAGACTACTCTCACTTCTGACACCAACCGCAAATTCAGGGCTTTCTCAAAAACCACGCTCTGGTTCAGTAATTCTCCAGGACTCACAAAACTCCCTAAAAGCAATTATATGTATGGTTATGCTTAATTACAGGGAATGGATACAAATTAAAATCAGCCAAAGGAAGAGAAAAGAATCTGAGAAACATGAAGCTTCCACTGTGCTCAGGACATTATCCTCTCAGCATCAGTGCGTGATAATATGCATGAAATTGTCAACCAGGCACACTCATCTGAGTTTCTATGTTCAGTTTGTATTGGGGCTTGTATCCATTTCCTACGGCTATCATAAAAAAATACCTTCAACTGGGTGGCTTAAAACAGCTGAATGTTTTTGTCCCACTGCTCTAGAGGATGGAAATCTGAAATCGACGTGTCGGAAGGCCCTCACTCCCTCCCTCTGAAACCTGCAGGCACAATCCTTCCTTGCCTTTTCCAGTTTCTAGTGTTTGTCTGCATTCCTCACTCACAGCTACATCCATTCCCATCTCTGCCTCCATTGCCATGTGGCATTTTCCTTTCATGCGTCTCTCTGTTCTTCTCATTAGAACACCAGTCATATTGGATGGTGGATGGCTTTATCTTAACTAATTACATGCACAATGACCCTATTTCCAAAGGTCTCATTCCATAGTACTGGAGTTTAAGACTTCAATGTATATTTTAGGGGGTGTGTAAAAGGTCTCCCTTACATAGGCATGATTGATTGGTGGCCCACATGGCTGATATCAGTGTCCAGGTTGACAGCCATAGCCTTAAACCCCCACTCTAGATCATATGGATAATCTTTCGGGTGTGTCCAGCCATTGTCCAAAACAAAGACTGTCCTATCAGGTATGACACAGATTGCCTCCAAGAAGCTGAGGGCAAAGTTCAGAGCTCTTTTTGAGCAAGGCCAAATTCTTTACTACACAAAGCCTTAATAATTTTCCACTGATTCATCTTAAAGCTGTGTTTTAGAATATCAGAAGTAGAAAACACTATAATAGATATGAACAGATGATTAAGATGACAATATTACAAAGACTATTCAGTGGCAGTGGTAGAAATGACATCAGCTTCCTTAGTCAAATAAGCTTTAAAACTTAGACTAAAAATTCCCTGACTTTTTTAACAGAGGTCAGATATTTTGAGATACACAAATTATGGATGATTTTACTGTTTAAGTGACAAGAAGATAGCAGTGAAGTCAAGGAGAATATACATTTATCTATCATTTGAAAGAAAATCTTCCTAGTTATTTTTACAATAATTACTGTGACATTAGCTATAAACAATTAAAACATTTAAAGCCTCTTATATCCCACAATCATCACGATCACAAGTTGGTTTGAGGCCATAAGAAGCCATCCTGACCTCAATATCCCCTCCAATACTCCTCAAAACCGAAGACTGCTCTAAATTTGGAGTACCATCGCTTTATTAAAAGAGGGGAGAGCAGGTGTTGATGATGCTAGCACCTGTGACTGCCACAAATGTAATCAGAATAAAAAGTAAAGAATTTTAAAGGAGAGAAAATGCAGAACAATGTCCTCAGAATTTATGGTCTAAAACAGCTGGTTATCTATTTGAAGGAATCTCTACAGAATGTTCCTTGAGAATGAGGGATATGTTGTTA